AATGGATGATTTCCATGTTCAACTGCAGATAATGAAAGTTGAATAGCTTGACGAATGAATGGTTCATGAATATTTTCAACAGTTGAAGACGACATTTATTTTGCTTTTACAAAAAAAAAAGAGAAAAGAAAAATATATTATCGAAAGAGTTCGAGGTATGTGAAGTAAATAACTTTCATCAACTGAATCGTTATCTATACTAACCACCAACTCATATATCGAATATCTCAGCTTTTAGTGATTAGCCCTAAATGCACTATATAGTTTTTTTTAAATAACTGATTCATCAATCTAAGTTTATATGTTTTTAGCTCTAAAAAAAAGTAATAGATGGCGTTCTCTATCAATTTGTTGTTGTAGATAGTATCATCAAAATAGCGCTAGTGCATGATACGAACATAATAGAACAGATAAAAATGGCCAATACGAAAATATGATACCACGATGTTTCCAGCTATGTCTCATTTTTTTGTGAAAACTTTTTTAATTGATTCGCTTATAGAATGCTTTGAACACGTGCATCAGTGGTTTCATTATTGAAATCATCCGATGAGTCATCCATGTCAACTAGCATAATCGATCGTGTAGTAGTACTCTAAAGTATATCTTCACTGTAAAAAATTTACCCGTTAAATATCAACCAATAATTTAAACTCAGCTCATGGTCAAATGAGAAGATGTCATTACTATTTCTGTCTTCTGGCAAAATACAGAATTTCTGATGGATGATATAAGAGCAATGAATTTTATACTGGAATAGTATGATCATATATTTCAATAAAAAAATTCTTTCTCTCGATTTTAAGATAATTTGTTCTCATGTATTTGCGGCATGTATTCTTAAACTTGAAAACAATTGTTTATTTACGTTCTCAAGTAATTCATTCTTCGAGTTGTTTAATAATTTTTTTTAAAGTTTTTTTTTTTTTGTCATATTTTATAGACAATCGATAAATTTATTCATCGCTCATTGTCATCTCAAATTCAGAAACATGAAGAATCAAATTCAATAAAATTTTCTAATGAAGACCAAGAAAAAAAAGGCACTAATCTAGTTATAGAAACAAGGGATGCTCGAAAAGAACGTGAAAAAGCTGAATGGGAACGATTATCATTTATTGAGAAAATAGTAAAAAAATATTTTCCATCTCGTATTAATTCAGTTGCTATTTTTGTACGTAATTATTTGTATTTTTCTTTCATTTTTAACAAACTTCTTCATATTAGATTCTTGCTGGTATTGGTTATGTAATTTTTGAGCAAACAAGAAATGATCATGAAATTAAACGAACATTTCGTAATGGTTCATGTCCAAATTTTAAATTTAAAGAAGAACAATTACTCGAACGAAAAGAAATATTAGATGAACTTTCAAGAATTATTAAACCTGTTGCTAATAAACTTGTTTCATCATATTATATTGTAGTTGGTGATCATGGAACTGGGTAAGATTCAATAAATGATTATCAAAGAAATTTTTATTTTTCTATTCATAGAAAAACAACATTAATTCGCCAAGCAGCACGACAAGCTGGTCGAGGTGTTATCTATGTTGATAGTTCGTTATTATTTTAATTATAAAAAGAAGACAAAAAAAAAGAAACCGTTTTTGTTATTATTTCTAGTTCCATATAATGTTGAAAGGTTTGGTTCTGCTTTTGCACGTTCAATAAATTTCAATTTCAAAGAACATCTTCTTTTATCGGTATGGATTGAATCAAAAATGTTTGGTTCACCACCTGATGATGGTAAAAATTGAGTTCAATTTTTCTTTATCTTTCTATGAAATTATTTATTTCAGCAGGTAAACAAGAAAGTTGGGAACGTGTATTAGTTACATTTGAAAAATATGCAATTGATTTTAAAAAAAGATATGGTTGTGTACCAGTATTAATCTTTGATAATTGTGATTCACTTGCAAATAAAGATAAAAAAATGCTTGAAATATTACAAGATACAGCAAAAACAGCTATTGATGATTCAACATGGGTTACAATATTTGTTGGATCAGCTGGAGAAGCACCAGAACAAATGGAAGGTAAGTCATTTACAAGCGAATAGTTTCAACTGTTCAATGGTTGTTCACTTAAGACTACTACTGTTCGATCGATCATGTTGAATAATGAAAAAATCTGGCTTTTTGATTTTCATTTCTTGAGCTATGAATATTTTACTTGATTTTATAGTCATTTGAAACATCTTAAAGATTGAGCCTGGACAAACGCATTCGTTCATACAGTAAAAATCGAGTAAAATGTTCATAACTGGATAAGCACAGACCGGAAAACTAGACATTTGTACTATTCATTATGTTTGATTGAATAGTTGTTGGAAAAGCTTTTATCTAGGCAAATATTAAGCTAAGATGACATTATAATACGATACTTTTATTTATAGGTCGAAGTAGTATTACTCGTGCTGCATCATTTATCGAAATAACCGATCTATCCGAAACAGAAGCAATAACTTATTTAACAGAAAAACGAAATCTACCAAAAGATATGGCCAAAGACATTTATGCACTGTTTGGTGGACGTTTTAAGCGTTTACAAAATGCCGCAAGTAAAATCGAATCTGGAGTACCATTTTCTAGTAAGTAACATCAAATTTTTTTTTTTGAACAAGAAAAATCTTCGAAATTTATTTTTTCTTTTATTTAGCTATTCGATCATCAACTTTAAATAGTATAGCACGTCGAATAGAAAAAATTCGATGTCGAGTTGGTAGTCAAGAAGAAGCATTTATCCTTAATATTCTTTGTGGTTTATCATATCGATCTGAATTAACTATTGATGATTTAATTCAAATGGAAGGAGATGCTAGTATAAGACAAAAAATTTTAGAAGAACTTCGCAATGAAACAATTCTTGCTCGAAATGTTACAACTGGTTCATATATATTTCATGAACAAGCGACTAAAGTGTGTGTTAATGAATTCTATAAAGAAAAACGATGTTTTCCTTGTAAATGGATTAAAGATACAAAATTTTAAAAGATCTATTTTTTATGTGTACAGAATAACATTTTTTTTATACTTAACTTTATTATTCAATGTATCGATGAAGAAAATAAAACATGATAGTAGTCAAGCAATAGAAAAAACAACGAGCATAGATCTAAATGTCGTCTAATATCCGCACCACAACTAAATAGAGATGGGCGTGAGTTCAAAAATTCGACAACGTCAACAATTGGTACCCTCCAATTATCTACAATTGAAAAGAGAAGAACTCTGGACATCTGCTTGTATAATACAACAATCTTAAACAAAATTATTTTAAGACCTGTTTGCGTGAAAAGAATTCATGATAACAACGTTTCGTTTCAAGGAAATTTTAATAAAAATCAACAGAATTCTATTTAATTTGATCTGATAGATGCGTGACTTTGCTTGCTCAACATTGGAATATGAGTAGACAAGATGGATGATATTAAAATTGAATTGATAAGTTTTGTTAAGCAAAAATCTCTTTTGAACACGCGAATATTGGAATAATCAACTTTTCTAGATCTAATTTTTCTCAGTTACATTTGTTTAAAGTTACTATATATACTGTGAAAAAAAATCGGCATCAGAGATATGTGTTCAGAGAAGTTGTCAATAAAAAAAGAAACTAAGCATTTTCGAAAAATAGATAGTATATTATGTACATAATTCATGAAGCTAGATTCTTATAATCGAATAGAAATTTCGAAACTAATTTCAAACGGTACAAAGCATGCTTCAAAATTAGTAGATGATGATAAGACAAAAATATTTCTTTCTATACTTAATAGGATCTTTAGAAAATGGGTGTTGACGAGTAAGTTTTATCGGAGTCTGTTCTTACTAAAATTTTACCATGTATGTGGTTCCTGGCATAGAATTCTTAAGTTTTCGAGTTTTTTTTGTCTCGTATGGTTAGACAGATATTTGCTAATTATTCTTTAATGATAACTCCACTAGGGCAGCCAACATTTTGACATATATTTATACTAGAAGAACTTATTCAGAAGAATAACCCTTATTAAGAATTAAAGGTGGATAGGTTCCGTTTTGTCTGCAACGGTTGATATATACACTTGGGAAAAATAGAATTAGTCAATTTTTTAAATGAATTGTCACCATAAAAATGCATTTTGCAAAAAAAATTATTTTATATTTTAAAAGAGCTTAAAGATTTCTATCATTCTGTATATTTATATTTTCACTTACGTTTACTGACTAGAAAAGCAATCAATGACAACGAACACTTCCTCAATGATAGAAAATTTCGAGCGTTATCATGATGTATAATTAACTTGATAAAAATTGATTCCTCTAGTAGCAATAACTTAAGGTAAATACTCAAGGTATTAAAGAATTTCAAGTTCTATTAAAATATGGAATTACTTAGTGATGATACATTTAGCAAATTAAAACTTTTGTTGAAAATATTTTGACGGTGACAATGAATTTAAAAAACCATCTAATACTAGTTTTTTTCCAAGAATATTATATGAATCCTTTCCGATATTAAATGGTATTTTGAATCATTTATGAATAAGGAAATATTTGTGCTTAACATTCTACTCGTTAAATAATGAATTCATTAAATTCATGTCAAAAGCAATCTTATGATCGACATTACGAATTAAAAAAAAATTAAAGTGAATATATAAATTATTAAATTCCTGGACAGTCTTGTTCCATCCAGAGATTAAAAGTATGAGTCCTTCTATAAAATTTTCTATCATAGTGGATGACACATTTTCTTTGTCTTTCTTGATTCATCCATATGATGGTATTTACTAGATAGAGAGAAAGAAATTTCGACGTCCAAAACAAGAAAGACTATATTGACCTGATAAATATATATATATAAAGTGAAAAAGAAAAGATAATAAACACACACGCACACGTATATAGACGACACAGTGTTGTGCTCCTTCTGATCTAATTAAACAGGAATATAATAATAAGTAAGATTAGATTTAAGAAGAATGATAATTTTTAATTGAAACTCTTTTTTTTTTAAAGAATGATGTCAACACAATCTCCAACACAAAATCGACAACAATCAACAACATACGATGAGCGTGTATTTAATGATCGTATTCGTCAATTATTTAATTCGATCGATTCATCTTCAGTATCTCATTCTTCTTTATCATCACATGGTGATGTTGGTCATATGACATCTATTGTTGATGCTCTTTTTCCTGAACAAACTTCATTTCATCAACAAAGAGAACAACGTCATGCATCAACAAATGACCTTACAACTGCTTTCGATCGGTTTTCATTATGGAATAGTAATACTAATACTACTACTAGTAATAAACAGAATAGTTCAGCATCAGCTTTCTGTGGTGGTACAACAAATGGTTCATCAGTATTCGCCAATCGACGTCAATCAAAATTACATAGTTCATCACGTTCATTACGCAATGCTAATTATCATTGTCAACAGCAACAACAACAAAATCATTATCGACCACCACCACTTACTCGACCTCGTTTTACTTCATCGATAGTACGTTTACCATCAGCGGTAGCAACGTAAGTTTCAATTATTATTTTAACCGGTTATTCAATTAATATTTTTTCATATTCCAGAACTTTTCATAATAATAATAATAGTATTAACGGTCTTCAACGATCATCATCATCATTGTCGACGAATAATGGTACATGTGGTACAACTGATTATCAACCTCGTTTTGCTAGTCGCCTGTCAAGTAGTCGATTACCTACAGTCGCACCACCTGTAGGATCTCACGATCAAATAGCAGGTAATGGTATTGCAATAGATCCAATAGCTCCACCATCATCAGCATCTACTATTGGTATGATGAGTCAACCATCATTGGCTTCTGCTGGGCTTGCTCGCAGTAATTCATCAACAAATACTCAACCACAACAATTTGTTACTATGACACAAACAACAACAACAACATTTTGTTATGTACCTGCTTCTGGTTCACTTGCTTATAATAATTTATCGGGTACAAATCGAAATTCAACGGTTTCTCATCAATAAAAAAAGTAAAATTAAATAGGAAAAGCATTCATTCATTTGATTGAAAACTATGTAGACTATAGCGTCGTTGTTTAAGACACATGTTTAGATATATATGTATATATATATATATTTATTTATTTATCTTATTTATGGCTTACTTGTGTACTTATGCAGATTTGTTTTCTTTTTCTTTGGATTTTGGATCAATCGATCGCTAGTTGTTTTTCTGTTGTATTTGTCGAACAATTTAATGCACAGAATTATTTATTTATTTATTTATTTTCTTTCTCTCTTTTTTGTTAACTATTCTCTCTTCTGCTTCTTATTCTTAATAGTTAAAGAGTTGCCTTTGCATCGAAAACAAAGAACAACTTTGGTTCAATAAAAAGTTGATGATAATGTAAAACTTATTCATAGATCGTCTTAATTATAAAAGGAATAATAAAGTAGAATAAAATTATGAGTACAAATCTTATACCGTTTCCGATATGAAGTACAAATATTGGCTTCATCAATTAGAGCAATCATAATTGATTAGCATTTTTCTTTGCTAATATTTTTACGACTCAAAAGTAATAACAAACCTAAAATTTATGTGAAAAATATATTTATTCTTTTGAAATCTATAATCAAATTCAAATTACAAAGTATTTTGTGAATTTATATGTAAAATGGTTGGATTCGAGAAATTCAATAAATCATTATTTCATGATCTCCAAGGTTTCAATTTCATAGCAAATACATAAAGATAAAAGACTCTGTATGTGATATACAATATATGAAGTAATGTTGAAGTTTTCTGAACTTTGCTATAAATGCTAGATATTAACCATTAAATTCTGCAGACATTCGAGTATTCACATAAAACATTAGACATTTATCATGCGATCATATCTTGATTCATTTTCTTTTGATGTCATGTTGCATTCGAATTTCTTACGTGCAAATCTGAAAATAAATGTTTCTTCTTTTGTTTATCGAACGCATATTGAACATGAAAAAAAAAATATTTTTCTGTTTTTATTATGGTGCGAAGCACTGTATAGTAATTGTTTGCAAGTGGTTAATGCGGTGCGAAGTACAGCTTTTTAGTAGTCGATCGCATAGACATCCGGCCTCCAGAATTTTCGTGCTTTTTGTTGTAACAAAATCCGTACTTTGTGTTGTTGGAAATTTATTCAAATTATGTCAAAGAGATTTATATCTCGAGATGGTACAAAAGTTTTCAAATCTTTAATATAAGTTTTCGTGCATCTTCAGTAAGTTTCACGTAACAATAACATTGACAATTTGACGTTCATCTTTTACCTGAAGTAATTAAAAGTGATGAGCTAGTCTTCAGGCAGTTGCTGAAAGCAGAGGCGGTAGTGAAAACCTTCTACAGAGCCGAATCGAAGCTGGGTGAAATCATTTGTCGTTTTTATGTTAATCGAAACTCTATTATCGAAAATTGAGATCGCTTTGCGCTGCATTTATGTTGTCTCTTGAGAAATTTCTTCTTTTACGTATCAGACATACGCATTAAAATTTATCATTTACTGGTGCAATTATATCGAGAACGGAAAGTAAGAAAATACGCAGAGAGACGTTCTTACACTATCTTATTCACGCACTAAAGTAGGTAATGGATTTGAAAGCAATCTTTTTCTGTACGAAACTCTTATATTTAACATCAAAACCGATTTTGCCTCTTAAGCTCTTTATCTGTTACGCTATAAATGACAAGAGTAAAAACAGTTTATAGTATATGTTAGTCCTCTTCGCGGTTCCGAACACACTTACACTCTCAGCATAGAGTAGAAAACATATGCCGTCAATCAACATTCATTCTTGTTCTAATACTGGAAAAAATAGAGATAGTTCTTTTTTGTCTTTGATAACTTCATCTAATCTGCCAAGATTAATGAGAGATTAGCTTTCATAAAGAAACTATATGGGTTGTTTCTATGGATCTTTTGATGAACAAAAATAGCATGCATGCACTTAATAATTCCCAATAGATATAATTGGTTTATCATCATTGAAATCGGTATTGCCATATATTGATGTTAGATTATGGCTGAATCAAATATTAGCTATTATTTCATTAGATTTAGTCTGATTTCACTCCTAAATTCATTCTATCTTTTCTTTGTTTTGACAACATTATAAATCAATATCTTATCGTCTATTTAACTGTTTGAGGAGTGGTGAGACATATATGTCCCACTTTTGTTTATGATCACAGAACTATAATAAAACTAGGAACAATGACTCTGGAAAAAAGAACCATTATACTACAAAGATGAAATTATTTTTGACTATTCAAATTCAAGTAACATTGTTTATCTGTTTTTTCAACAGCGAGTTTTGAAGAAGGTTGAGTGTTCTCTTCTCTAATTACTCAGCTTTATAACAGCATTTAGCTGTCACAAACGTAGATGAGGCATGCCATCTCGCTTGACATCGTCACATTCTTTGATCGGCCATTTCCAATAAACAGCGGCATCACAGGTCATTCTTCTAGCTATTGCGGCATTGTTAACGTAATGAAGGGTCACTTTACCAACGTAAGAAATTGGCATGAGATGATGAATTCCACCTACGATATGAGCCTTGTCATAAAAGAATCGATCCGAATGAATTTTGGTCACTCGTTTTTGTTTTTGGCAATACATGAAGGTGACATCATTCCATGATCGAAAGGGACATTCCTTCGTATAAATTGCTGGCATTGTTGATATGAATGCAGCTTGAGAAAAAACAACACCACCACCTCCAGAGAAGTATGACCATCCTGGCACCCAAATATCGTCCCAAATATACCCAATAGACAACAGGAGTCGATGATCAAACAATTGAAGATAGGATAGAAGGGCAGGTACATTAATCCACGTATCGTCATCTGCAAGCACAAACCATTTTACATACTTAATCAATTTAGACTTATTGCTAATTAGCCATTGTGATCCCACTATTTGTCGATGTTGTGCATCATCTCTGGAAGGTTTGTTTTCAAGCTTAGGCAAAGTTATCAAAGGAATACTGGCGTCAGCAGCATCAGCAAAGATGAAAAAGTTCCCTTGAGACCATTTCAACCATGTTTCCGTGAGAAGCTTAGCCTTATGAATATATTTTACACTGCCCATTATAATAAATAAGACATCTTTAGGATCCAATTTTGGCGGTAGAAGAGGCTCACTGCCTGAAAGGCAACCAAGTTTTGCAGCAGATTCAGTATGAGGAAACTCTTCACGGATCATTCGAAAATATTCAAAATCATTTAAATAGTACCGATTGCTACGATTTTTGGCTCGACTTTGCAATGTTTCATTAAGTTTGAGATCTTCTATTAATGTATCTCTATGTTCTGGTAATTGATCGAACTTTTTGAATTGTTTTGTTGACCTATTGAACGAATCGTATAGTGTCGGCTTGAATTTTATCAAAAAACCTCGGTAATACTTGTCGTGATATCCACTAATGGAAATAACGATAAGACTAACTAACATGATTGTATAGATAGATACATAAAGGATCAAGCGTCTAGAAGATATCTGGTAAGGACAGCACCATATTTGATTGGGACCGTGTTTTGACTCATCCAATTGAGATGTCATAACAGCTATTTTCAGTACTAAAAGACTTGCAGTGATATTGAACAGTACATACAAATATCTGAAAACTACAAGAAACTAGTGAATAGAGGTTAAAATGAGAAAAAAAATTTACAGAATAGCAACTAATTACCAAGAATAACAATCAACGATTATATTTGCCCTAAGTGACAACCATCCACTATATCGTTCATGAAAACAAAGGAAACAAAAGACTTTATCAACATCAGTAATTGTCGGAAAACACTCAATTGTTACTTCAATGAACAGCAATTTACGATTCGTTAAGATCAATCAAAATAATACAAGTTAGCCATGGTGGAAAGTTTTCGAATAATAGATCTATTGAGAATGATTCAAAACTGAACTGCACCATGAGAATCGTCTGTCCTCTGAAACATGAGTTATTTTCGAAGTTTCAATAAAGGAAATCAATAAAAAGCCGTCGTCATTGAGTATCAATAAAAAGAATGTTATTGTTTCAAATATGGGAACATGACAACAGTTGATTGCGCCGACTATTGGGCACAATGAGAATAAGTTCCAATATAGAACAATGCAGCATGAGGATAAGGGTAGCATGTGAGAAATGCAGATGCTACTCCAAAGAATGGATAAGTTGATGATCTCGTCAACTAATAGTAAAGAAATATTGACATTCATATTTTGCATTTATTGGATGTTACGAAAAGATCAAAATTATATTCACTGTGAAATAGCGAAAACTACTGTAACGAAACGTCCAAAATAAGAAAAAATTAAATATACTATGGTGAAGTTCTAAAGTAAGTGCTACTTGCTTTTGCGTAGCGCTTCCTATACAATTATAAGAGTCTGATAAACATTTGTATTTTTAGTAATATCTAATGTTTATTGGTCCTAAATACATTGTTAGTTAATTTCTTTATCTCTGTAAATTATTTTTTTTCTCTAATACTGATGAAGTATTTTTAGTAATTTTAGTGTCTAGTATTGTGAACAATGCTACATTTCAACTAATTGGTGTGGTGCCTAAATATCACGTCGACCAACTGTTGTATGCCCGTTTCCCACTTTCACTCGTCTCTTTACACTGTTGTCTTTCTTTCTTCATTGGTTTCGGCATTCCTGACCTTTAAGTTCTATCAAATAGACGATGAGTGAAACAGAAATATGTTACAATGAATCGAAGTCAAACAAAGGATGCTCATCTCTAATCGAACATATTCTTCGGATTTTCCTCTAAAGACAGTTAGTGAGTTCAGAAATCGTTTCTTCTCGTAAGTGCTTGTGTCACAAACGAGTTCCTCACTTCACAACTGAATATTTACGACACTCCATCGCTATGTGCGCATGAGTCAACTCTTGTGGATGATCAATCGAGAAATTGAAAGCCATCACTTTTGAAACTGTCTGCATTTTGGGCAAAGAAAAAAGTAAACA